AAAACTTTGTTCTCCTTCATACCCAGCCAGTCCTGCCGGTAATTCCATAATCATTGCTGTTCATTTCATTCACGATGTATCTGAAGAAATCCGCCTATACAGGAAGAACTATGACCTTGGTGTATGTTTCTCCTGGAGGCCCCTTAGGGATCCATCCTTGCATGCAACTTAGCATTGTTTGCTTCGTTAAATCTGATATTCGTGGTCGTGTTTATATCAGGAAGACTTTCAGAAATGAAAATGCGGACTGACCAGGATAAGAGCAATTGATAATGACCTCCTAGAAATGATCATCAGGAGCATTAATTCTATTGTCCGTGCCTTGAAAAGTGATCGTAATGGTGCGTGGTGGTTGAATAATCATATATAGTCATGATATCATGTTTCATGTATATTTGTTTTTAATTGTTTTTAAAATCATAGTGGTTTACTGCGCGTCGTCACTGCAAGATGTATTGCCTAACGTTTCCCGGTTCAGAAAAAGATTCTTCCGCGCTAAATAGTAACCAGGTTTAAATGCCTTTAACTAATATCTCTGAACACATACAGCAAGTATTCAGCTTCTCTAATGATAGACTGACAACGTATGGAAGAGTGTATTTGCACAACACGTGGCAAATTGTTCATTTCACTGTCGTAGTTCCTGATCACTTGCTCCGGTGTTCTTGACACTTATAGAATTGCCTTCATGACGACATAATGTTTTAGCGTTTTGAAACGCATTTCACAATTCAACAAACAGCTGACGAAATTACATGAGTCAGTACTTGTTTCTTATCGGACTGTCTGACCAGCTGAGGCGCGAAATAACAGGCTGCCCAACAGCACTGTGCCGCTGTCTCATGAACAAGTAAAAATTCAGATGATACAGGTCTCTGAGATATACGCAGATACGTTGATAATAGTTTGTCGGATTTGCATCGTCACCAATCGATAAAAGTGATTTAAAATTAAAGCGTGGAAAAAATTTTAGTTCTGCTTTTTCAGGTAGGAATGCGAACCTTCCATCTGAAGCAGGACCGTCACTACTGCCCGATTATCAACGTCGAAAAGTTGTGGTCATTGTTTCCGGAGAACACGCGCGAGAGGTTCGCAAACGTCAAAGACAAGGCTCCAATACTGGACGTTGTAGAAAAAGTGAACATATTATTTGTTTCAAGACAATGATAAATTAAAATTGATCTTATAGGGTTATTTCAAAGTTCTCGGGAAGGGAATGCTTCCAAAACAGCCCATTATCGTGAAGGCGAAATTTTTTAGTAAAGTGGCTGAAATGAAAATCAAAAGGGTTGGAGGTGTTTGTCTATTAAGAGCATAGTGCCTACTTGTGATCAGCCCTTTTTTATAAGAAATAAAATATTCTGTGGTTTTGTAGTTGTGCAAGGATCAACTGATATCCGCATCAGGGATGATGTTCACTGCCGAAAATAATAACTGGCGATATTTCTCAAAGAATACAGATTGCTTAGTTGAACTCTTCAAATCTAATTCTTTATTTTCTATTTTGGCATTAGACACTAAAGAATGACGGCGTGTTCATTTGTCCATGGGATCAAACTAGTAAAAGAATAATTTAATGTTCAAGTATTGTTAAGCGTGCTTCGATGAAAATTTATTGTCGATACTGCGTAGACAACCGAGTGGGTGTCTACTCGGTACTTCTAATAGCTGCGATATCTTGCCAGGTGCACATAAGCCATGCACATGAAGCAGATTGGCAGAAGATCAAGATCTTTACATTCGATTCATAATCGAATACCGGTGCCCATTTGAATGTGGCTGTGCAGAGCGGTTGACAATCAGTGAGAAGAGAACGGGTACTCTAAAGTGGCACTCTGAGGGCTCTCGTTGCGTCATTTCCAAGTGTGACATACTTTTTCATGCATGTATATTGGCAGTTTAGTAAAGACTGCGGTAGCCAACTGATATTTACTGATTCCATTAAAATTCTCATCACTAGGTTCTGATGCAGCCAGGAGAGGTAGTTAGCCTGCTATCACAGTTGAGTGATATGAAGCTTTAATGTTGCTAAGCCAGACAGACTTTACCGTACTTCTCAACATTCTACAGCCCACAATGAAAACCACTGTGTAGTTTAACCACATTGACATCTTGCAACCTGAGTTCACAATTAGCGGTTTAGATTAATCGAATGTGTTACAATCGGCCAACGTTGGCTTTACAAGCGCAATCTCTTGGCTGACGTATTTCGCGAGTTTGAAGTTCATATATCAGAAATAACCGTAGTTAATAGCAATTGTTTCTTCAAAAGGAAAGACGGCTGAGAGGGTTTGGGTACATTTCGCGAATGAGTTTCGGAAAGCGTAGAATACTTGGGGTAGCAGCCGTGATAAACTCAGTTTCAAAATCCAGTTATCTCTTGCTGAAGCTCAGACAAAACCTGTTCGGACACCTACCGAAATGTCACTAACCACGCGCACATCTGTTTCCCTAAAGTAACCCCGGTTTTTGTGCTTACTTGTAGACTGCAATTTTCAATGCAACCGGTAAGTACAACGTTTTAAGATTTTGCTCCGACCTGTTAGTTGATGCGCTTTTGCGTCTATGCGTTGCGTGTGATAAAATACAATGGAAACATTTCCTGCTCAAACGGACCCCGGGGGTATTGGAAACGAGGGAACGGTATGCCTACGCCATACAAATTCGGGAAGTCGACAAGAAGATGAAATTCTCACAGGCGGATCGAAAACAAACAGTCTGCTGGTAAACCCATAATACCGTGGTTATTTTGCAAAAATAATGAAAGGAAAAAATCCACTTAAACTAATTTGTACATTTCACTCAAAGGAAAGAGCAGGAGCCATTTCAAGAGGCCGTAAGATGTTACATGACATGCCCTTTCGTAAACGAAACGCCAAAGCTCTGAAATTCTGAACCTCTGCGGATGGAAGCATTTATATCGGGTGTTTATACCACGACTCGCATAAGGACCGTTGTTGGTGATCCGGTATAACCCAACCTAGCTGATAGAATTATCACTAGAGGAAGGGTGGCAATCCTCTAACAGAAGCTGCAACATTCTAAAGCGTTTACCTGGTTGCAGATGTATGTGCTCAACATCGAAGAAAAATATTTTTCCTTCCTTAAGGAAGGAAGTGTGCTCTGTACGAAGTGCTGATTACAGAAACCCTTATTCAAATGGGCGATTTTAATGCACATCTTGGAGCAGACACTGAAAAGTGAAAAAGGGTGATTCGAAAGTAAGGCACTAGAGACCACAACAATAACGGTACTAATGACAATCAGTGAGATGAAGGCTGCATTCAAGAAATGGCTAGGATGCAGGGTATCTTCAACAGGCGTGCAAAATGCAGAAACGCGCGAGGCTGCAACGAAATCTGAAGCTGATTTGGGAAGTTAGATTAAGTGCTGGAGTCGAATTTTGAGACAACAAGCAAGGTATTTTGGCAGACCATTCGCCGGCTCCTAGGCGAAAAGAAGGGCACTTTAAGAGCCTTGAATGACACGTCTGGACACACTCTTACTGAAGATAAGGACATTCCTTGGCGATGGAGTGAGTAACCCTTCAGTGAGGGACTGTTTGACCCTAAACAACTGCAGAAAGATTCGCCTGTACAGCAGTAGGAGTATTGTTATTTATGCAACTGAAGCCACACACGCTGTGAAAAGCCTGAAAAATGAAAAGGCTGCTGGAATTAATGAAATTTACACTGAAGTATTCAAAGCAAAGTACGAACAAAGCATGTTCTGCCCTGAAAGTGTGTGTCAAAATGCAATGGCTATGGGGAAGGTAACAGCCGACGGAGAAGTGGAAGCTACAGTATAGGGAGTGCTCTGATTACCGAGGCGGAGTATTCGCAAAGGTGCTAGAAAAAAAGTGCCGCGGAATAACTTACTCTATGATTTATAAAGAGCAGTGTGGCTTCTGGCCTAGCCGAAGTACATCTGTTTAGATTTTAGCCCTACGCCAGATTGCAGGGAAACCTTAGGGGTTCGCCGATTCAGTGGATATGGTGTGGGACAATACAATACAATTTATACTCATGTGATAAATTCGATGTTTTTTTTTGGTTGAAGATTATGCAAATAAATATGGCCGAGTTTAGTGATTCTGTGATTCTGTTACGCAGCGACAGATAATCATATACAATGTAACAGTGCATCAAATAACGTATAACAAATATTTTGATTCTGCTTGTTCTTGACGGCTATTCTGGACGTCAAAAAATACAGTAAAATGTTCAACTAGATGCTTTATGTATTCGTCGTAGCTTTGAATTAATGAACCGTGATGTAGTTTTAACGTATTCTGGGCTGAGCGAAAGCCAGGATTGCTGTTTTCAGTTCCGTACTTCGTTGAAATGCGATTGAAATGGTAAGTTTAGCGCTGTACTATTACTGTGTCAGTTGTAACGGTTTCATTTGTTTGTAAATTTGTCATCAAATAATTATCATAATTACCTTAGACAGGTTTTAACATTTTTCTACATTTCGGTGAAACAGACAAAGCTTTTTCAATCGGTTGTCAGGTTTAGCTCTATTCTCTGTGTTTATTGTTCATTTTGTTTTGAAAGTTCTATTATATATATTAAATATGCTTTCTCTCGTTAGTGCAATGTGCAATGTTGTGTTGGGAATGATTAGATCAGCTGTCAGCAAAGTGGAAAGTAGAGCACACTTACTCATTTGCAGATTATAATCAGGATCGTTAATCCGAGTAGCTCTGCCAGTATGTGCTACATTACGCCTACTTGGTTCTCCTAGAGGTCTGAAATGCTGCGAAAGAATCTTTTACCCCTTAATATTTCAGCTCATGCGGTGTGTCGATGCATATATCATCAGCTTTTGAGTACACCCAGAATTAATTGTACGAATGTAAGTTCTTCTCAGGCATCGTGCGGCAGAACGTCAAGACTTCTACGTTGGACGCTTCATCGCTCTAATTTCGCGATTCAGGTAATCTCTACCAGTGGCATTGTCTCTTTTTTTTTGAGTGGGCTGCTTCACATGGTCAGAAATGCTTGAGACTTCAAATCAGTCAGTGTATTTATCATCTTTTAACAGTCTGATTTACGTCAGCAGCAGGGTTGGAAAAGCTGATTTCCATCTTCGCCTTTTACGGTTGCTTGGATTCCGTTTTCATTTGTTCTGACAATTTACAAGATGTTGTAAAATGCCAGTTGTCATTCACGACAGAATATGAGTCATGGTTTGACAGAATCATCCAGAGACAGAATGGTGACCATCCAAAACTATTCTCCTCTAGGTCACAAACGCGTCGGAGGCCACATCGCACCCTAAAGCAGCTGATAGAGGAGGCCGATTTGCTTGCAGCGAGAAATATGACCTTTACCGATGCAACCAGCATCGCCTGATAATCCTTCTGGGAAGACAGCGTCAGACATCATTGATCTGAGTACTCGGTGTTTGACCCTGAAACTTCAGGTGACGATGACAACCACAACAACAAAAATTGTCACCCATGCCTCTCCAGTTCATTTTCGAGCCATAACGGGAGGTAATCATGCACTCCTTTGGCGATGTATTAGAGCAGTCGATGAGATCTGAATGATTGCAATACAGTCTCGTGGCTACAAACATTGTGCTAACTGACTATGATAGTTCCTTTCCTGTTCGCTGAACAGATATTGCAATATGCCATTCACCCAATTTACACAGATTTAACAGAGCATCTCTGTACGAGGAAACTTCATCATACCGAAAATAAGAACTGATCTGTGCAGAAATTAGGTGGTAACTTCTTCCGTTTAATTTGTAACCGAACGAACTTACTAATGTACGTACCCATTCCGTCTTAAAGTGTCGTCTCCTGTTTTCTATACTTATTGCATAATAATAGTGTAGTGTCTTCTCTTGCTGTGTATGCTGTATTTGTTGTTTATCACCGTCATCTGACGCATCAGGGTCAAACGATGGTAACTCGACGACGACGTAAGCAGGAGGATTGCGTTGGCTCTATTTAGGTTCAAAAGCCTGTCGTAAGTCTAGACTGGAATGGGAGTAACTATCTCATCCAAGAGATGAGTTTAGTGGAGTGTTGTTAGACCAGTTTTGCTGCCATATGGGTAGGCAACTGTTGCGCTTATTAAAGCGAAGGAGCATCGGTTGGATAGCCTCTATCAACGCTGGTTGCGGAGCACGCTGAAGGTCCACTGGTACGGTTGTGTGAGAAAATTCGATGTTCTTGCATTGATCAGTCTCAGATCAATTTCCGAGTTGCTTAGAAACCAAAGGTTGGCATGGTTCCACTACCTGCAAGTAAGCAACCAAGCTTCATTGGTAACAACGGCGGAGCTGGGAACCGAAATATATGCAGCGAAAAATTAACTGCCATCATATCACTTCGCAAAGGAAACTTAACATATCTGTTATCGATTAGGAATCTTTCCTTCTTTGATAGAGTAAACGACCTCTAATAGTAAAATTTGAAGAGCGTTGAGACGAGCCACGAATCATGAGTCAAAAGCAACTTGCCGGTTTGCAGGGCTACTAAAGGCGATGATCATAAACAATATCAAGGAACAAAAGAGCCTTGTACCCAGAATAATTACGTATGATGTTTTTGCTTTCTCAGAATGATTTAGGCGACGTTGTATATTTGCGGGTACTGACAGCAGAAAGAAGCATCTTCCTGTTTGGCATTAGTTTTTATCGAATACTAAAGTTAAACAACTTTTCTGACCAAGTTTGATGGTTAGTAAATAAAAACAAATTTATTTCATTGATGGAAATTAATGGTTTTTTGTAAGGTGTTTGTGAGTTATGTTGGCTAAAGATGAATTTAGTGTGACCTGAGATCTGAAATGGAGTGTTGAATGTATTTAAAATATCTGACGAAGTATAGCATATAAAGATTGCCATGATTAATAAAAGCTTTTCAATTTTTTTTGTGATTTAGGTTAGTTATTTAGTTTACATATTTGGTTATGTTATGCACATAAAGCAATTTAAAGCTGCCAGTAGGTGTATGCAAGAAGATTAAGAAATTGGAAACGGGTAATTTTTAACAGATAAACCTGAGGAGAAAGCAAGACCAGGAATAGAATGAGTGTTAACAACGTGTTTTCTCGATCATTTTTGTATTTACGGATTACATTTACGAAGCATCCGTTCGGCTACTGAAATGCAGAATAAAAATTCTGTGAGCCCTGGCAGATAGAAGAATTGTGAGCTGCTTCCATGTTATGGTTGATAGCAGATTGTCGAATAGTGTGAGAAAGGAAAGTTTGTAACCGTTTGGATGTCGGTCTCCATTACACTTTCATGATTGGTCAGCATTTCTGACATCCGCTCTGTTGATCATACTTATCGCGCGTCGTTTTTCCATACCATCAGGCACAAGTGCTGTATTCTTTTTGTCTGTGGCTATATCTGCAACTGGTGACCATTAAAAATTTTACTCTTCTGTTTCCTTCCTATGAAGTGGTAGCCATTTGTCAACCATGAAAGGAAGAAAGGCGAGTGACCAAACCAGGACTTGGTTTTGAGTCCGGCCCTCGATCGACGAACAGCTCGGAATCGATTACTGGAAGTCTGCTACCGATTAAGGTGAATTAATCGTTGAAATCTGAAGGACAGGTTAATGGTGGGTCCGCTTTGCTCTCTTAAAGAAGGAGAATTTTTTCATTCCTCTCATCCTTAAGGTTACAGTTTTAACAGCCTGAGGTGCATGATGTTAACATCCGTTTTTAACCTTTTATTGAGCTTTAGGTATTCAAAATTTGACTGTGTTCCCTAGGGGCTTGTAAGTGAAGGTGTTCCGTTGTTTCCACATTAGTGATTTTTGAACATTGTTAGTATATTTCTACCATTAATACAAGATACTATTCTGTCATCTGAATATGGCGGACATCACAAGCCAGAGTCGTTCTGTTTACGTAAACGGCTCAAGGTGATCTCAGCAGCAACTAAGGTATTTATTAATGCGACAACAAAAATACTTGGCAGTGGTGCAGCTTAATCCACCGAGACGAAGAACTGTGTAAGTGCAAGTCGCATTATAAACGGTAATTCCTTGTGACTGTCCCCGGTGTTAATTTTAATTATACAACGTAAATATTTCAGCTGACTGAACGCTACTCTTCAACATGTCAAACAATCGTAACTGACGCGTACAGTCTGTATTCACTTGTTAGATTAATTTTCTACTGTTCTGCTTTATTTCCCATGCCTCAAATTTTTTATTGCTCTTTGCTTCACTGTTCAGTTATCGATTCGAGTTTACGATGTCTGAGGTTATCGCAAAAATCTGAGCCTAAAAGACAGGCTGGCACTCTTTTAGCAATCGTTAGGAGGCCTGTTATGGCACCTTTGTACATAACTTTTCTTCTTTTATTTATTGTTATTTTTAGCAACCTTCGTACGTCTGGAGGGGATGAAATTGCTCCAAATTTACAGAATTCTTATGCAGTAGAAACTTATACCATTGTCAGCCAGCTGTCCAAACGGTCGGAATTTCAGATGTACAGTATCGGCAAATTTCAGGTTTTTTGTTGACCAAGGAATGCCACATTTTGCTTTAAAGCCATCATATTGATCCGTTTCAGATGAATTAGAATTCGCCAATTCGTCGGCTCTTCCTTTCAGGCTATTTTGACCTTGGATGTCGACGGCATCAGCACATCGTCAGCATGTGATAAAGTTCGTTCAGAAGCGATTCGCAATATTTAAGAGTCAGTGAACATTCTGGTGATATATGAATAACAGATTCAATGATTAAACAATTGTGCACGAAAGGACTGCTAAACGAAGCAGCCAATGATATAAAGAACTCCAAGGATGGAAGAGTATCTCTAGGACTCAAAAAGTCACTGCCATGTGAGGAAGTTTCAGATGTTGAGTTAATACGAAAAATCTGAGAAGTAGAATCGACATTTGCTGTCAACTTGTAAACTTCACGAAGTATCTGTGAACATATGAAGAAAAATCTAAGTGATGATCATATTATTCAATAGTTTTGTCCCGCAAGCGCGTTTTTTATTGCGATTTACCTCCGATTTCATGGCTACAAATTGGCTAGTGCGTTGCTTTGCTTGGGCTGAGTTATTTCTAGATCGATAGAATTCACTGCATGGTAATCAACTCGCATACAGCTAACAATTTGAGTACGAGTGAAACGTGGCTGATAGGTCGGATAGTGAATCTACATGGCCAGCAACTGCTCCGACTACCTATACCACGTATAAACAGTGTAATTGTTTTTTTCCACCTTGTCCAGCCAAAGCGCATTAAAGAACACCATTTACACTTAATTGAGCTTCTTTTTGATAATCTTTTGGTCTCACTACTTCTCATCTAGCATTCAGAATGTAGACGGCCTTGATAAAAAGTTCGACTTGAGGTTGACCGTCCGAATTAAATTTTTAACTTCTTTTGCGCCATTCAGTCATACCATAACTGATAAGTTGTTTTAGCCGTCGGGTCATATGCAGCAGGTTAATAAAAGCTAGTGATTGTTTGGTAATAACTAATATATCGAATATGACCATATGAAAGATATACTTAGGTAGCGGTATACTTGGTATTCAGTACTGTAAATATTTGGAATAATTGTTAGCATTGCTGAAAAAGCATCAGGACCAAGTGGTGTATGTATTGTATTTGCTGAAAAAGACGATAATCACGATGATGGCAGATAAATCCTAAGCACAAGATGTCTAGCGTTTTTAAAATTAAAAAGTAACGATTACCTCGATGATGATCACGATGATATGACCTGACCTGATTCTCCAATGGTTGCACTAGACCACTCTCTCCTGAATTCTTTGCGCAAGACAGTTGGCATTTCAGAGGGTAAACCGTAAACCTTTTGTTCGAACCACCTACTCCTTGCAGATCTACAAGCATCTACAGTCTTTAATTGATACTCTCTTAGATACAGATTTAAGTTTTTTTAGATTCAGTAAGGTTAAGTCTCTAGTATTGACCAAGTTCTTAATTTTTTTGACTGAAAGTGGAAACTTGAATACACCATTTTAAGTAGAATATTTCTATTTTTTCTGCATTTTATAATTTTTTTCTTCAGGGCCAGAACGCGTCGCAGCTGGAGAAAGAAATCAAAAATGAACAGCTTCCAGCGAACGAACACTTTTTCGGTCTTGTTAACGTAAGATATATTTTCTGTTAGGTCAACCTTTTAAATTAGCAAAATTAATTCGGTGAGATTTTCAGTTTGGCAACACTTGTTATTGCAACTCGGTAATTCAAGCTTTGTATTTCTGTCGACCATTCCGAGAAAAGATCCTTAGTTACAAGCATCAAGTGAAAAAATCAGGTGATATATCTTTGACTGTTTTGTATATGCTTGACCTAAGTTTGTTCTGCTCAGGATGCCAGAAGGAAAATCTCCTAACTTGTTTGGCCGATTTGTTTCACAACATTAATTCGCAGAAGAAAAGAGTCGGCACGATTGCCCCCAAGAAGTTTATCGGACGTTTAAAAAAAGAAAACGGTATGATATTGAATATGAGCAAACTGAAAAATTTTCTGTTCATTGTCTGTTTGTTCTATGACTGTAATATCATGATATTTATTAAAACTCATCCGTCAGGTGAATGTAAATATTAGATGACTTTAAAAACTAAATAACTTAATAAAACTTATATATGCTTTGCCGATTCATTGTTGAGGGCATCAGATAACGCACATGTTAACATTTATTGCCAAAAGAATTACCAGTTAGTAATAGACGTTCTGACTGAAGATTTTTACGAAGAAATTAAAAAGTGCGTGAACATCGAAATAGCCGTTACCAGTTCCTATTTGATGATTTCAATGCCAAACTGGGATTGCAGCAAGAAAACGAATGGCCCATGAGTTCACTTGGTTATTGCAAAAGGAACCGACCAATGGGGTTTTATGAAAGCAACAAGTTATTTATTAAAAAATCACCTTATTCAGAAAAGAACTAAGAGAAAAGTGGTTATGGAGCCCAAATGACGTTAAGAATAGAAATTTCATCCTCAGTAGCACAAACATTCAGTACAGGACGTCTCGGGGCTTAACAGGTTTAATGTACGGAGTGACCACAGACTCGTGCGACGTAAAGTACGTCTGGACTAGGCTTTGGAAGGAGCCAAATTTCCGAGGCAAGATTCTAGATGCAAGACGTGGAAACACTAAAGAAGAACTTGTCACTCTTCCAACTCAGATTAAATAACCAATTTGAGATGCTTCGCAAAATGCAAGAAGAAGAAACAGAAGAGGCAATAAACATAAAAGCAATCTCTCGGGATTACATAGCGAAGATGGTTATAGAAACGGCAGAAGCATCCCTGGAACAAGTGTTATGAAGGTTGATGGACAAATCACTAACTAAATGAAGGAACTCATAAAGAAACGAAGAAAAATCAAATCAACAGCATAAAAAATTCAAAGATCGAGTGGGTGGAACTTTTCGAAATTTCAAAGAAACGCAGAAAGTAAGACTTCTGAGCATTCAACTGCAGATTGGCAAAGGAAACTGTTGAAAATGACCGAAGCATGGAGAAATCAGCGATTGAGAGACGACAGATGTTACGTGTTAAGACTGCAGACGGGACTGTCATCACTAACTTGCAAGAGATTTTAAAGAGAGTGGAAATTTTCTGTATATAACTGTTCAAAGTTATAGACAGAACTACCCTTGGTTAAGATAAGGAACATGAAGAAACAGAAGAAGTTAATGAAATTGAAGATATCTTGCTAAAGGAAGTGTGATTAGTGCATGATAAGCATAAAGCAGTCAAAACAAGGGATGGTTCTTGGCGATGATGGCATTAGAACAGACCTCATAGAATCAGGATGGGAAGTGCGGACCAAGATATTGGCCGACTTATGTTCATGCTGCTTGAAGGAACTGAAAATTTCAGACGATTGGATCACCGCATCAGTGATTCTACTCCTTAAAATGGGACAGAAGAGTTGAAGAACTATAGGATGATCAGTGTGTTACTAGTTTTCTAAAACATCTTTTCCAAGGTACTCACGAACACATTTTAACAAATACTGGACATTGCACAGCCGAAGGAGTAAGCAGGATTCAGAAGTGGATTCGGTGAGAAAGAGAGAGAGAGATCATCTTCAGGTGGTTCAACAAGTAATTCAGAGAAGCAACGAATATCAGCCTCCTTTGTGACTTGGTCCAGAAGGCTTTCGACTGAGTCTACAGCCGTTGTGTACTGAACCTTGAGGAGCCGGGGAATCAAGGAAAGATACATAAACCAATTCGCCTGATTACAAGAATGCAAATGCTAGTATAAAGTTGTACGAAAGTAGAAGCAAGTTAAAAATCGAAAATGACGTCTGACACGGAGAAGCAGTATCACTGGTTGTTCACCGAAGTCCTTGAGGAGCTTTCAAGACACCCCGTCAGAAAAATTCAGAAGCTGAAAGTAAATGGCCACTTGCAGTTTGCAGACGATATTTTGAACCTCCCAAGATCATTAGAATGAAGAATCCAAAAGGTGAAGGACTTCAGCATCAAAAAGAAATGAAAAATGAACTTGAAGAAGGTTAGGTAATGCTTAACAAATTCGTGACCGTGGACACGGACTTGGGCTTGAACTACATCTATCCGAGACAGCTCATGTCTGAAACAGGCAACGACTATGTGAAATCAGCAGAAAAATGGAAATCACTTGGGGCACCTTAGGAAAATTGAACATCCTCCTATCCGGGAAATTGCTCTTGTTCTTGGAACCGATAGTAGACGATCACTGTGAAGCGTAAACCCTGAGCTAGAAAACAATTCATAAAAAGCAGATTGCGCAACACAGTATGGAATGATGTATGCTGGGTCTAGAGCAGACTCCTTTCATGTATTTGCAGGAGGTTAATCTTGGCCATCTCTTGAGCCTTCTACCGGTTGGCTACGCAAGCAGTAGTAGCTTCGCCTTCCTTTCTAGAGACATTTGCAACACATGCCCAAAAAACCGTAGCTGTGACTTCTCAGTCTGAAGAAGCAGCTGGTATAAACCAAGTCTCTCTCGGATTTCTGGCTAGCGATTTGTCTCAGAATGACCATTTCAACGGCTTATACGCAGGATCGAAGTTTTCAGTCAAGTTTTTCAGCCACGACTCATGACCATAGATAAGCATAAAGATGAAAATCGATTTGAACACCAAGAACTTAGTATTCAGACTCAGCTCTGCTTTAGTCGGAACGGTTCGGGTTAGTTCACACAAAAAGCCAATCACTACCTCAAATTTTCCATCATTAGTAAATACGACTCCAAGATAATTGAACTTCTCCACCTGCTCCACTGCCTCTCCATTGGTCTGAAGAGAGCAACGGGCAGAAGAACGAGAAAGCACTGGGCTTTTCGTATAAGATGCGTTCACATGCATGCCGGCCAAGTGGCACTCGGCTGTGAACCTTTCCAGAGAGCATTGTAGATCAATTTCAGATGTCGATAAAACAGGGTCATCTGCAAACAGCAACGTTCTCGTCTCCACATCTCATGCACCGATGCACTCATCGTCTTATCTGTGCCTATCCAGTGCAACACAGATAGGAGAGGGGGCAGGACGCAGCCTTGGCGGAAACCAGTACCAGCACTGAAAGGCTTCGACTTACGGCTATTTACTCTGATGCAGCATCTGCTCTCAGCATATAATGATTGAATGGCCCGTAGTAACTGGCCATCGATCCTCTGTGTTTGCAGGCATGCCCATAGATTGTTGCGCAGGAGCTGATCATAGGCTTTCTTTAGGTCCACAGAACCCAAACCGGGTGGGGTGGAACTCCCACG